ACTTTTAATCCAGGTTACAATAATCCACACTTTTAATCCAGGTTACACTCTTCCCTCAAGGACACATTTTACAAAGTAGCTACATATTGTGCAGGTCTAAAGATACATTTGTATATATTTTTGTGTACATTTATTTTTTTAAACTATTTGACGTAACTTTTTTTTTTATTATTCAATATTTTACTAACAGAATAGTCAAATAGCAACCTGTTTTTTGTGTGAATTGCTATGTCAGTCAAATGTTCAATTTTGGAATAAAGGGGTGGAAATTAAAACTTTTTTCTTCTTCGATTAATCGAAAAATAATCGACAGATGAATCGATTATTGAAATAATCGTTAGTTGCAGCCCTAGTCTCGAGTAAGCTATTTTTAACCTTTTTAAAATGTTGTTTTTTTTACCATTTAAATCAGAACCAGCTGGAGGAGCATTTAGTAACTAATTATGTTAATTATCAACAGGTCAGTAAGAGGCCTGGGTATAAAGAGACTTTCAGAGCGGCTGAATCTGCCAAGGATTCAAAGTGTTTATTGTCATGTGCACAACTGGAAGTGCTTCCCTGAGCATTGTCATTCTTACTTTGCTGTCTACAATCAAGTTTCAAGCAGAGAAAGAAAAGGTCCGATGACACTCAGAAAGAATGAATTTTGTAATTTGGAGGTCTTCTGTACCTCCTGTCTGAGGACAGAAGTGTGAACATGTTGGGGTGGGTGGGGTTTTTAAGGATGGGGGTAGCCTTCCTGTGGACTGCGGTGGTGGATGCTCAGCAGAGAGGGCGGGGGAGTCCTGGGGATCCTCTCTTCATTCTCTGCATGCGTTTGCGTTCTGGTAAAGATGGGCAGATGTTCACCAGTCTGAAAAACTGAGTCTAAAATCTGTGGAACAATTTCAGAAAACAATTTCTATAATTCATTCATTCAACCTTTATTTAGACAGATAAATCACACTGAACCTCAAAGACTCATTTACAAGTGAGACCTGTTTGGACAGACAAAAAAGTGATAAACTGGACACATGTAGGAATTGGAGGCGAAAAAAATTCCTATCAGACTTTTTTTTTTCTGCCTGAGGGGAAAAAACCTCTATTAAAAAACACCTCACACAAACAAGCACATAGTGATGTAGACATTCTGCAGAGGGGGGAGGCGAGAGCGGTCAGCATGTTCTTAGATGCTCTCGAGGTCACTAAGAGTTTTGATAAGGACGTAATAATCAGTCAATGCCCACCGGTGAGATCCATAAACATTCTTGAGGTATGTCAGGGAATGGCCAAGAATAACGTCTATGAGAATCCAAGAGTCCTGAAATGATGAAACAAAGTTTATTCAGCTGGTTTCATCGGGTTATCAGTTGGAAATTCCTCAGGGAGGGGGTGGTGAGTGTCAGATCACATGTTCTCCAGGCAAATTCAGATAAGATGGCCTTCAAGGCCAGCCAGGGGAGCCAAATTCAGATAAACACACAGTTGTTTTGGGGACAGGCAGAACTTAATGACATCTACCTTAAGTCTGTGTTGGTCGACTCGGTTCCGAAATGTCCAAATTACATGGTCGCACTGATGGAACGTGACGGAGTAAAATCCTCAAGATCTGATCCATTCAGCCCAAAGCATTTGAGTCTTGGTACTCGAGGCACGAACCAAGCCATCATAAAGGCAAGCAGCGTGATCGGGTCCAAATTTGCTGCCGACTTCCTTGATTGTTGATAAAACTAGCAACCAGCTGAATCCAAAAAGCAGGAACCAGTTATCGAAAATCCAATTATAAATGTGTCCTTAAAATCCACAGATGGCAGCAGAGATAGACACATCATCAAGTCTTCAAGTCGATGAGATATCCAGCTGCGTACGTGCCAACAGGGCAGATCGGTTTGCCTAAAGCCTGTCTTCTCTTCGAAGAAATGTTGTCAATTGTGTTGAGGGACCAACTGATCAAAACAAGTCCATGATTATGGTTCGGAAGATTTGTAGAAGAAAGGCTCGGAAGCAGTTTCACAGACAGATCAGCAAAGCGGAGAGGGAGGGGAAGGGAGAAGTATCCGCTCTCGGCAAGAGCAAGCGATGAAGTGAATGAATCAAAAAATAGCTTCAACATTTGATGTGTTTACTGTGATCAGTTTGTTGTGAGATTGGTTTAATTTTTTTTATTATTTACACTTTTACACAGCATCCCAACTTTTGCAGGGGTGTATTTGTGATGTTCTGGTTCTTGTCTCCTCAGCCCCTCAGAGACCACCTGTTGCAAAGGTGGCACCTAAGTTGGCTCCTGTTGGCACCAAGAAGCTGGGGATGGGAGGGGGCCCAGAGGAGAGAGCAGAGCTCCTGAATGAGGTCAGAACTGTGGAAGAAAAGACGAGATTTCTTTTTACTGAGGACTAATTTTATAAACCAAAATTCAGCAGCACTACAGCAGGGAAATCCAATAAAAGCAGCTTGGTCTGTGTTTTGCAGGAGGTATGTAAAGTGAACACTCAAGCTAAATGTATATTTTCACCATTAGATTGAGATGCTGAAATCCACCATTCAGGACATGGAAAAGGAAAGAGACTTTTATTTTGGCAAGTTGAGGAACATTGAGCTTATTTGCCAGGAGAAGGAAGGAGAGGGCGACCCCACCCTGCAGAGGATCATAGACATCCTCTATGCAACTGATGTGAGTCATTTATTATTTTCTCGTATGTTTAACTCACTGTTAAGAGTTTTTAAAGGCAGAGAAAAGCTGAAGATAAAAAAACTTAATATTTCTTATTTCAATCAATCAACCTTTATTTATACAGGTAAATCCCATTGAGCCTCGAGGACTCATTTACAAGAGAGACCTGATAATTATTACATTATTATTATATATATTATAATTATTACTTATTTTACATTTCTGTGAAAAAATATTTAGAAATAAATGGTGCCTTTCAATTCTGAGCGCTGCAATAAGAATAGATACTTCCTGATGTCGTCACACAGTAGCCAGTCTTTAGGCTGAAAATATCAGCAATTAAAAGTTGTTTTTTTTTTACCTCCAACTTATCTCTATTTGATTTCTTGCCAAAAGTGCCAACGCACACCACATGTCCGGCTGCTGTGAGCAGTTTGCTGTCTTTTTGTCTCATATTGTTACTGCTGTCACTCCACAGGCTTAAAATGGTCTTCTGGCCCAAATGACATGTCTAAAGGTAACAGAGAAATAAAACACTCATTTGAACCTCCCATTGTGTAAAAGAGAGGGTAAACTCTGGGAGCAGGCTAGTTTTAGGCTCTCAACAACACCAAAATGGTTTAGTGGTTTCAGCGGGTTTTGCTTGACTACAAACCGGATTCCAAAAAAGTTGGGACACTAAACAAATTGTGAATAAAAACTGAATGCAATGATGTGGAGATGGCAAATGTCAATATTTTATTAGTAATATAACATAGATGACAGATCAAAAGTTTAATCTGAGTAAATGACATTTTAAAGGAAAAATATGTTGATTCAAAATTTCAGTGTCAACAAATCCCAAAAAAGTTGGGACAAGTAGCAATAAGTGGCTGGCAAAAGGAAATTGTGCATATAACGAACAGCTGGAAGACCAATTAACACTAATTAGGTCAACTGACAACATGATTGGGTATAAAAAGAGCTTCTCAGAGTGTCAGTGTCTCTCAGAAGCCAAGATGGTAAGAGGATCACCAATTCCACCATTGTTGCGCAGAAAGATAGTGCAGCAATACCAGAATGGTGTTACCCAGCGTAAAATAGCAAAGACTTTTAAGTTATCATCATCAACTGTGCATAACATCATCAAAAGATTCAGACAATCTGGAACAATCGCTGTGCGTAAGGGTCAAGGCCGTAAAACTCTACTGGATGCTCGTGATCTCCGGGCCCTTAAAGATCACTGCACCTCAAACAGGAATGCCACTGTCAAGGAAATAACAGAATGGGCTCAGGAATACTTCCAGAAAGCATTGTCAGTGAACACAATCCACTGTGCCATCCGCCGTTGCCAGCTGAAACTCTACAGTGCAAAGAGGAAGCCATTTCTAAGCAAGCTCCACAAGCTCAGACGTTTGCACTGGGCCAGGGGTCATTTAAAATGGAGTGTGGCAAAATGGAAGACTGTTCTGTGGTCAGATGAGTCACAATTTGAAGTTCTTTATGGAACACTGGGACGCCATGTCATCCAGACCAGAGAGGACAAGGATAGCCCAAGTTGTTATCAACGCTCCGTTCAGAAGCCTGCATCACTGATGGTATGTGGTTGCATGAGCGCTTGTGGCATGGGCAGCTTGCATGTCTGGAAAGGCACCGTTAATGCAGAGAACTTTGTTCAGGTTCTAGAACAACATATGCTCCCATCTAGACGTCATCTCTTTCAGGGAAGACCCTGCATTTTTCAACACGATAATGCCAGACCACATTCTGCAGCAATCACAACATCATGGCTACGTAGGAGAAGGATCCTGGTACTGAAATGGCCAGCCTGCAGTCCAGATCTTTCACCTATAGAGAACATTTGGCGCATCATAAAGAGGAAGGTGTGACAAAGAAGGCCCAAGACGACTGAACAGTTAGAGGCCTGTATTAGACATGAATGGGAGAGCATTCCTATTTCTAAACTGGAGAAACTGGTCTCCTCTGTCCCCAGACGTCTGTTGAGTGTTGGAAGAAGAAGGGGGGATGCCACACAGTGGTAAAAATGGACTTGTCCCAACTTTTTTGGGATTTGTTGACACCATGAAATTTGGAAACAACAGATTTTTCCCTTAAAATGAAACATTCTCTCAGTTTAAACTTTTGATCTGTGATTTGTGTTCTATTCTGAATAAAATATTAGATGTTGGCACCTCCACATCATTGCATTCAGTTTTTATTCACAATTTGTTTAGTGTCCCAACTTTTTTGCAATCCGGTTTGTAAATGTTTGTAATGCAACTGTAATTGTTTGTACTTTAAAACCGACATCTAAACAGCTGGAAAGAAAATGGTGCTGCACTAATGTTGAGGAATCTTACTTATCCTGGAGAGATAGCCTGCTAACATACAAAAAAGCACTCCATAAAGCTAGAAGTTTATATTATTCATCTTTAATTGATGAGAATAAAAATAACCCCAGGTTTCTTTTCAGTACCATAGCTAGTCTAATGAAAAATCCTCTCTGTTGATTCATGTATCCCTACAACTATAAGTAGTGATATCCTGATGCATGCTCAATAATCCAGGTAGAAAAATCTAAATAAGTAGTGATGACTTCATGAGATTCTTTATAAATAAAATTGTTTCAATTAGGGAAAAATTTCAAACCAACATTCCTACTATCGCCTCTGGTTCTGTGTCAAATAAGACAAATTTAAATATGTCACTAGAACCTGTTTTGTGTTTGGACAGTTTTTGTCCTGTTGAGCTCTGAATTGTCAAAAATAATAACCTAATCCAAACCATCCACATGTCTGCTAGATCCCATCCCAACCAGACTGTTTAAAGAGGTATTTCCCCTAATTAATGTCCACATTTTGGATCTACTTAGTTTGTCTTTAATGAATGGTTATGTACCACATAGCTTTGAGGTTGCTGTAATTAAACCTTTACTTTAAAAACATAACCTTGACTCGGGAATCCTAGCCAATTATAGACCTATATCTAATCTAACTTTCATCTCAAAAATTCTAGAGAAAATAGTTGCTGGTTAGTTACGTGAACATCTACAAAGAAATAAAGAGTTTGAAAAGTTTTAGTCAGGGTTTAGAGCTCACCACAGCACTGGATCTGCACTATTAAGCGTTACCAATGATATTCTCATGGCCTCAGACAATGGACTTGTGTCTCTACTGGTCCTGTTAGACCTCAGTGCTGCATTTGATACAGTTGATCACAATATTTTACTACAGAGGCTTGAATATGATGTTGGGATTACAGGAACGGCTCTAAAATGGTTTAAATCATATCTATCTGATAGATTCCAGTTTGTAAATGTAAATAATAAATCTTCTTCATACACCAAAGTTAGTCATGGAGTTCCTCAGGGTTTAGTGCTTGGACCAATACTCTTTACCTTATGCTTTCATTGGGTAATGTTATTGAACATCGTGGGATACATTTTCATTGTTATGCTGATGATACACAATTATATTTGTCCATTAAACCCAATGAATCCAATCAGCTACTTAGACTACAAGCATGTCTTAAAGACATAAAAACCTGGATGACTCTTAATTTTCTCCTGTTGAACAGACAAGACTGAGGTTTTGGTTTTTGGACCTGAGCACCTTAGGAATGAATGTTTCAGTCTTTCTCCCTCCTTGGATGCATTAATCTGTCCTCCAGCTCTAATGTTAAAAATCTTGGTGTTATTTTTGATCAGGACATGTCTTTTATCCCCCACATTAAAAACGTTACTAGAACCTCCTTCTTCCACCTGCGTAATATCACTAACATTAGAAACATCTGATCTAAAGATGATGCAGAAAAACTGGTCCATGCATTTGTCACGTCTAGACTGGACTATTGCAATGGTTTATTATCTGGGTGTCCAAATACTTCTTTAAAACATCTTCAGTTGATCCAAAATGCTGCTGCCAGAGTCTTAACTGGAGTTACTGGGAGAGATCATTTCTCTCCAGTTTTAGTTTCTCTCCATTGGCTCCCTGTCAAATCCAGAATAGAATTCAAAATCTTACTTCTAACCTACAAAGCTGTCAACAACCTAGCTCCATCTTAAATTTGAGATCTTATTGTTCCATATTTTCCTAACAGAGCACTTCGCTCTCAAACTGCAGGTTTACTTGCTGTCCCTATAGTTTCTAAAAGCAGAATGGGAGGCAGAGCTTTCAGTTCTCAGGCTCCTCTCTTGTGGAACCAACTTCCAGCTTCTGTCCGTGAGGCTGACACATTATCCAGTTTTAAGACTGGGATTAAGACTTTCCTTTTTGATAAATCCTATAGTTTAATGTTTTGTTGTTTTTTCCCCCCTTGTCCTGTCCATCATTGTGACACATAGAATTATTGTGTGAGTGTCAAAGTGATGTCCAACAGATTTACTTTCACAAACAGAGCATTATGGCTGGCCTTAATGCTCTGTTTGATATGAAAATTAAATTTTATTAGAATTTGCTTTGGGCTTGTTTCAGATGTAATGGACAGGGGGACGGAAAACAAAGAAGAAAACAAAGCAGAAAAGTGAGAGAAGGGTTAAAATGTAAAGAAGGAGATAGGAACAGAGGAGAGAGAGAGGGATAAAGAGAACACAGATCAACATCATTGAAGTCTGACTCTAGACCTGTGGAAAGAGAAAGACAAGACAAAACCGAGAAACCACAACAACAAACAACTTATATATTGATACTTGTAACATCATTAGAGAGTATTTTATACAGTACATGGTAATACAATATATATTTGATGGCCACCACAACCCAACTGAGTGTGTATCTGATAAACACCTGGATCTAAACACCTGTGTGAGCATGATGTCACTATAAGGTTTCTCCATAAAAATGTTCAATAGTGGATGTGGGGACCCATAAACCCGTCCCCACAGGACATGATGGTAACACAGGGAAGACTGGAACCACAGACACACAGCGGCCCCAAAGCCTGGAACTCCGGTAGTCCCCCAACAGGGACACCCGCACCCCCAGAGAGAGAAGCAAAGGGAAGCCCCGGGCGATCCCCAGCAA